AGTTGTTCCTCCCTCATTAACAGAAACTCGCTGCCCCCTAAGGTTCCTGTCTAATCTTTCTAGTTGCTGTTGTCAGTTTGATCCCGTATAGATAGTTCTCAAAAGAGCGTAATGCTCAAGGCAGACATTCTTTATTAGCTCAGCTAAACTACTTACTGTTCAGTTTTAAATTGACTCTAGAGGATATTTTTGGATTAAGGTTTAAAGATTATCTCAGGGCAACAGTGTCAGGGGTTTATGCACCCTCCATGGCTCCAGGAAGTCTAGAGTCCCATGAGAATTTGAAATTCTGTTCTGCATTTTTCTCCTTTTGGTCAGGATTCGTCTATGGAATCCCGTAATGGTAGCCAGGCACCACCCAGTTCTTCTGGTCTTATGGCAAAGGAGGCAGTTGTTCATGGAAGCAATTAGCCGCACATTCCATACCCTCCTCTTATTCCCAACAAGAGAAGAGAGAATCTTAAAAGTCTTGGGATTTTTGCAAATGTATAGAAATGAAGGGTATTATAAAGACATAGAAAATATATCACATTTAGTTGTTTTGGAAAGAATACAATTATAACAAGCTGGAATATTTCTGGAAATTTCCAGATAGTTCCCCGTACTCAGAAGCATGATTAAAAGAGAGAATCTGTGACTGGTTATGAGGAAGGGTGGAAAATTTTGAAGGACGGGCTGATTATGTAAGTTTTAGGCTGTGGTGTTTGAAACTATTGCCATGATATTTTAGTTATTAATAATAATTTTGGGGAAATCTACTCGCTTCTGGAGAAACATTTGGCTCTAATGAGAAAGAAATGCCACTGTTCATGAATTCCCAAGTGGATGTAAGGAGCCATTCACTTGCTAAGCCTCTTAGGAAAGCCAGAGCCGATTTGACCTTAACAAGCTGTTGACAGCATCTGATCAAGGTACCACCTGGAACACGTTAGCGGTACAAGAAGGTGGGTGGTAGAATCAGACCTGGATTTAAACCCTTTTATGTCACTCACCATGTGACCCTGGGCAGTTTACCCATGGAAAGTTTCTGGGGTAAAAGGTTGCTTTACAAAGAAATCAAAGCTATGATTCTCACCCCTTGAATGGCAGTTACTTAGAGCTCAGAATACCTGACCTCTAGCACTAACAGCCACAACAGCATATACGTGCAGAGCACTTACTATGTGCCAGGCACTACTGTAAACACTTTCCACGTATTATCTCATTTAATTCTCAAAAACCCTATGAGGTAGGCACTATTATTAAAATTATCCCCATTTTTCAGATGAGGAAACTGAGGCTCGGGGAGGTTAAGTTGTCTAAAGTTACACAGTGAGTAGCCTTTTAAGTGATAAAGCTGGGCTATAAACCTAGGCAGGCTGATTCCAAATTCCAAACTGCCTTACTCCACCACCTCCCCACCTTCCAAAAGTAGGGAGGTGCAGGGAGGCATAGAGAAGGCCTCATACTGACACCTTCCAGCTCACAGTTCCTAATCCCTGAGCTTCAGTTTTCTTGGATGTCTTTGAATGATTTTCACAGTTTCCAAAAGCCACAATGGAAACATATAAACAGACAATTAGACCCTAAATTTCTTTAGGTTGGAATCCACTATTCACAACAGATTAGCTAAGGTTTTGTAGAAGCTCGGATTGGCAGTTACATATACAAAAACATTGCAGTCTTTTTTTTTTTTTAAGTGGGAAGATGAATCATTATTTAATAAAGGCTATTTAGTGGAGTGGATCCTTCTAAACACGTGGCCGGCCTATGAATAAACGGTGCCTGGTGTTGCAGAGGTTGGGAACTGCTAGTGTACATGTGTATGCATGTTGCCCAGTCAACCTTCAAAACCTGCCTTTATTTTTAACTTATATGATTCTTTAATTTGACTAGGAGACAACAAAATATTAAAAATATTTCCCTTGATTATTTAAAATGTTTTACTGGCATCGTACTGAATATCGGAATCTTGTTTATTTGTCAAAAACGATCACATTCTTAAAACATGATCAGGAACTGGGATGCAGAATTGCGAACACCACATTCCAGGCTAAAAACAAGATGTAAATCAAGTAAAGAACAGACTTTTTATCCTTTTAAGTTGGCCTGGGAATGAATTTTTTCTAAAGAAAATGTTTAAGTAACACTCAATAGTATCAGGACCCAGGGAACATGGATGATTTGACAAAACAAGCAAACAAAAACCCATACATTAGTCCACTGGGTTGTAAGCTCCACAAGGCGAGTTTGTGACAGGCCCTCAGTAAATACTTTTTCAATGATCTTGGAAGGAAGATCCCAGCAGGCAGTTGGCGCCCTTTAATTTAAGCAAGAGGACTGGGTCTTTTGTGTGAAGTCGCTCTTACAACACGTTGGGAAAGGTCTATCTAGGCCTCTCCTGACAGCTACGGTGATGACCTATTCCCGAGAATTTGATTAAATTAAAACTACACATGCCTTTCTTGAAATCCTGCCTCTCCCCAGTGTGTAAGGTTTGGATGCTGTCTGGGGTCAGAACTGGGAGCCACGGACTCTTCTGCGGACAAGACCTTGTTGTGACAGTCCAGGCTCTGTGGCCATGGACTGCCGAGTTGCCCTTCCGTCAGGTTCTAAGTTGTGTCCTCCGCTGCCCTCTCCGGAGGAGGCTGAGTCCGCTGCCCTCTGCGTGGGGTCTGGGAGTTGGCAGGCTCGTTGTGGGTCCCACGCGGCCCCTGGGCGGGGCCTGGGGGCTCGTGGGTCCTTTGTGGGCCCCCAGTCGCCCCCTCGGTGGAATGTGAGGGCTCGGGGGCCCGCCGTGGGGCCCCCGTCCGGGGACCCGCCGCTGCCCCCCGCCCCCAGGCCTCGTCCCCGGCGCGGTGTTTCTCTAGCTCCCCGGCCGGCGGGGCTGAGGGTCGGGCCGACATTTTCCCGGACCGGCCGCGTCCTCTGCCCCGCGCCGGGGGCGGGCCGGCCGGCAGAGCCGAGCCGCCGGCGTCCATTTTCTGGGCGGTGCTGTGCAGCGCTGCGGCCGTACTCGCGGGTCCGGAAGCACCATGGACCCCCGGGGAAACGCGCTGGCGGCGGAGGACCCGAGCCCTGTAAGTGTACCCGCAGGATCTGCGCGCGGGGCCGGGGGCGACGCGCGGCTCCGGCGTGGGGCCCAGGCGCGCAGCCTGGCCCTCGCCTGCCCAGGGGAAGCCTCAAACACGGCTGGGAAAACTCTCCTGCGGGGCTTTTAGCTTTGCAGACACTGGAAATCGGAGCTGCTGCGGGAGGAGGCGCCCACAGGTGCCGGACCCCGGGTCCTGCGCCCGGAAGCGGGGGTTGTGTTGTTCCACGGGAGAGTCGGGGCAGGTCCTGCGCAGCTGAGGTCCAGGGGAGGGGTCCGGGAGAAATGCGTACCCGAGGGCTGGGGACCTTGTGGGCTCGCGTCCAGCAGGCTCAGGAACTACGCTGACAGTCGCACTTACCCTCCACGGGATTGTTAATCGGACCCCAGTCCTGACCCTACGGGAACCTGATGATTTCCTTGGTTCAACACCAAGCCCCTGGAATTGAACGGAACGTGCAGAGTCAGGGCCCTGCCCCCCGGGGTTTGCAATCTCAGCCTCTATAGTTCTGCAGTAGTTTGGTCCGCTCTGTTGGTACAACACAACCGCCCGCTGTTAGCCACTTCTTTGCATGGTATATAATAAATCACCTGAGATTTTAGTCTGTCCGCGGTTCCACTTTATAACTCCTGCTCTGGTGTAGGTAAGTGACTGCTTCCATTCTGGACTTTGGCCCTAATTGAATATCCGTTTTAAAGATCCATTATAGATGATGTATGTTACGGTACCTTATACATATTTTAAAGCTCAAAGAATGTTGTCCTAATTATGAAGCTCAATTACTCGGTCAGATTATTATGGTTAAAAAGAATAGGGGGGTTTGGTGGGTAGCTTCAGAGAAACTTCTAGTAAGGTACTATATCTAAGTGCAGTGTTTAACCAAGAAGAGTAGGGACCCATTGCTGGATTGTGAAATCCGGTTAGTGGGTTACTACTCGAAAGTTTTCTTTAAAAAAAAAAGATATAGAACATATGGTATGGTATAGGAAAGTATCCATAGGGTTTTCATTGGCTGATTTTCCAAAGGAGATAGCCAGGCCCTTTTTTCCAGTCTGTCTTAGTCTGGAAACTTCGCTGAAACTTGTCCACCATAGGTGACCTAGCTGGTATTTGAAACACCGCTAGCATAGCTTCCAGCATCATAGCAACACACAAGGCAGCACAGTATGACAAACTGACAGGACTGGGGAACGTTTTGTTCTGATATACATAAGGTCGGCGTGAGTCAGAACCGACTTGATAGTAACTAACAGGATAGAATAGAATAGAAAATATCAGAGTGCGTTGCTTATAGTAAAGTAAGCATTGTTTTATGAGACTTTTGGTTTTCCGTTTTTATAATGTAATTTTTAAAAAATCGGGCATCTCTGTCAAAAAATTTTTAAAACCCTAGCTTAGTGGTTAATAAGGAGCCCTGGTGGCGTAGTGGTTAAAGTGATCGACTGCTAACCGAAAAGTTGGCAGTTTGAAATCACCAGCAGCTTCTCAGGAGAAAGATACGGCAGTCTGCTTCCCGCAGTCTGCTTGCCTAGAGATTTACTGCCTTGGAAACCCTGTGGGGGTCGCTATGAGTCAGAATCGACTTGGTGGCAGTGGGTTTGGTGAGTAGTGGTTAATAGCCTGGGCTTTGAAATCAGCTGAACCTGGGTTTGAGACCCAGCTCTAACATAAACTAGCTGTGTGACCATGAACGAGTTCCATAACCTCTCAGAGCCTCCTCTTCCATAGCTGTAAAATCGGGGAATACTGTTCCTTACGTCTGAGGGGCATTATGAAGATTAACTGAGGTAAAATATGTCAGTTACTTTGTGCAGTGCTAGGCTTGTAGTAGGTGCTCATTACATGCTAATTGCAGTCACTATTGTTGCTGAAAACATCAAATCCTGGTGTCTCGTTGTGGGACTCTGCATTTTTTCTTTTTTTTTTTAGATCTTGATGTGGAGGAGATGGAAGACTCAGAATCAAGGATTTCCAAGTGATTTTTTCCAAAGCACGGGAAACTGACTCTGTTAAAGCTGGTCTGTCCTAACTGAGGTAACCAAATTGTGTCTCTGTTTAGTCTACATGAAATAGAAAAGGTTGTTTCTTGTGTGTCTTTACTGAGGATCTCTGAAGGGTGTATGATACGTGACAATGATCCACCAGGCTTTGGGACCACGAAGTGACAATGATATTTAAGTGAACTACTATTAAGGAGATGTGATGTATGAGGCCTCTGTGATGAAGGGAGAGCTACGTGAATAAACCAGCTGGTGTCTGGTTCCTGTTCTGCCAGTGACTTGTGGTAGCTTCTGGAAATTTCCTCATAGATCTCTAGTTTCCCCAGGCTGGAAGAACCCAGAGACATCACCGATGCCCAGAGAGTTTAAGTGACTCTTCAGAGTTACCCAGTGGGTTGGGAAAGAGGCAGGACTAGAACTTGAATTTCTGTAGTTTAGTCACACAGCCAGCTTCCGGGCCTGCCGAGGGGTGAGCACCGTGCTAGGGGTTGTGTTAAGGGCTTTACATGGCAGTATTTTTATTTACTCCTCACAGTACCCCCATGAAGTAAAGAAGAATAGATGTCAGGGCTTGAAATGTAAAAACAGAGGCAGGTCATAGAAGGCTTTGCATCTCATACTATATTTATGGAGTACGTTCTGTGTGTAAAACACCGTGCTAGCACCACAGTTCAAGGCAGTGTCTGACCTTGAGGAGCTCGCACCCCCAAATTCCAACGAGATGTAGTCGGATGGGCCATGCCTGATGTTTGTCCCTCTCTCATTTCCTTGCTCCTCTAGCAATCACAGGGTGGGATCTGTCACAGGAAGAGACCAGAGTAACTAACATATCAAAGTTGTTGCCTTTCAGTACACTTTTTCACTTTTTTTCCACTTTAACATACACTTCCATCCTTCTAATTAAAACTCAGTGTGTTCAGTTTATAAATAATAGTAAGGCTTTATCTGAATTCATTCATTTGTTATTCAACAAATGTTTATTGAGCTCCTACAAGGCACTTGGGCATCAAGACCAAACACATTATATATTGTTAACAATCATGGTATTAGTCATGCTCAATTTCTTAGCAAAGAATTATTTCAACTGTTGAGATATCCTATTTCCTATTGTTAATATGTTGGACTATCAGTTCCCAGCATGTTGGAGATTGACCCATAAATGGAACTCCAACTGGATATATAGGAAAACCTTTTTAAAAATCGTAAAAGCTTTAGAAAGGAATTTCACACTTTTCTTTTAAATTTTGATTTTGTCATTACTGTCACCTGCTTATAGATAGAAGCCTTTGTATTTGTACCCTTAACCCACAGGCAGAAAAAACAGTTTGTAGGGAGGCTTCCTTTATCTCAAATATTCCCTTTTTTTTTTAGCTTTGTAGGCCACACAAGACAATGAGTTTTCAAAGTTAAGCAATTTAAGAGATACCTTTGTTTAAATTATAAGGTAGAAGAAGATAGCCCCGATAGTGTTAAGCAATAGAAACCTGATTGCAAGACTTGAATGCTACTTGTAGGAATTTAAGTCTCAAGTAAGACAAATGGGATGTTGAATGTGAATGTAGTTTGTAAACTTTAAGGAGTTCTCTAAATGTTATACCAAAAACAAAACAAGACAAAACAAAAACCCAAACTCGTTGCCATAGAGTGGATTCCAACTCATGGCGACCCCATGTGTGGCAGAGTAGAACTGCTCCATACGGTTTTCTTGGCTATAATCTTTATGGAGGCAGATTGCCAGGCCTGTGTTCTGTGGACCTCTGGGTAGGTTCAAACGGCAAACCTGGGTTAATAGTTGAGTGCAAACTGTTTGGGTCAACCAGGGACCTTAAATGTTATATATCAGGTATTCACTGAGTACTTACTACGAGTATGACATTGTTCTAAAGAGAATGGAGAAGTCAGCAGCGAAACGATCCAGTTCAAACCCTGTTATGTAGTTGAGGAAATAAATATATAGAAATAACCATGTGGTAAGTGCCCCCCCCCGCCAAAAAAAAAAAGATATTTTGGTAATTTGGAAGAGGAAGAGCTCTTTTTTACCCCTAGAGGTTAAGAGACTTTTCATTAAGAAAAAGCATTTAGGTGACAAGCAAGAGGACAAATAGTGTATGATCTCACTCATACAAAATAGGCAAACGTATGGACACCAGGGATTGCTAGTGGTTACTGAGGGTGGGAGGGAGGGTGTTTTGCTTAGGGGACCTTGAGTTTATGTTAATGGTGGGGGTATGCTTTGGAAAAGGATAGCTGTGTGGTTGCAAAACTCGGAAGAATGTCATCAGTGTTACTGAATTGTACGTTGAGAAATTATTGAGATGGTGTATGTTTTGTTATGTATATTTTCACCCGAATAAAATTTTAAAAGAAAAAGCATTTAGGCATGTTCTGAAGAACGTGGAAGTTTCAATAAAAGAGTTGGGGAGGAGGCCTTTGAGATAGAAGGAATAGTGGGAGAGCGAGAAAGCACGGAGCATAGTCAGGGAAAGGTGGCAAGTCACACTGAGTTAGAACTGGTTTACAAGGCATCAGAATGGGAAGCAAAGCTGGAGAAGCAGGCTGGTGCTGCCTGCTAATGGTAGGGATGCCAAGCTAGGAGATTTGAATGTATTAACCAGTAGGAGTCATTGAAGATACTTGAACAGGGAAGTGATCCAAAACCAAACCCATTGCCGTCGAGTTGATTCGAATTCATAGTGACCCTATAGGACAGAGTAGAACTACCCCATAAGGTTTCCAGGTTGCAGCAGGTGATTCGAACAGCCAATCTTTTGGTTAGCAGCTGAGCTCTTAACCACTGTGCCACCAGGGCTCCAGGGGAGTGTTACAGCTGTGCTTTAGGAACAAGTTCTTGTGGGTAGCTCAGGTGGACATAGGGAGGATAAGCAGGGCAGAAACCAGAGGCAGGGAGGCCAGTTAGAAGGCAACTGCAACCCACCAAGGAAAAGGCAAAAAGATAAAAAGGTCTAGAATGGGAGGTAACAATGAAGTTGGAAAGGAACAGATGAAAGATACACTGTGAGGGAAGAATTGACAGAATCTGATGTCTTCGGTGGAGAGGGAGCAGTGTAAGCCGACACTGAGAGTTCCGAGCAGTAGTCCCTCTGGAGGAAACTTGGAAGGAGATGAGGAGTTGCGATTTAGAGGTCCCGAGTTTGAAGCGTTCAAGGATGATGGCCCATGGACAGATGGGGGCTTTACACTCCAAGGAAAGCCAGGGCTGGTTTGAGAGTCATTAAACAAACAAACAAAAAAAACCAAACCCGTTGCTGTCAAGTCGATTCCAGCTCATAGCAGCCCTGTAGGACAGAGTAGAACTGCCCCACAGGGTTTCCAAGGAGCAGCTGGTGGATTCAAACTGCTGACCTTTTGGTTAGAAGCCAAGCTCTTAACCACTGCACCACCAGGGCTTCTAAGAGTCATTAGTATATAAGAAAAAATGGAGAGATGCAAGAAAGATTTGCCAGAGAGAAAATATAGGGAGAAAAAGGCTGAAGACAGAGCCTTTTGAGAAAAGAAAGAAGAACCCAGGAAACAGGAAGAAGTCTGGCAAGAGAGCAAGGAAGAACCATGGCAGAAGGTAACTCCAGAAGGCAGCAGAAGGGGGTTTCCCAGTGGAGGGAGCCTGGAGGGTCAGACCCTGCAGAGTGAGTCCAAGGAAGGCCATTGGATTGATGAGTGCTAGATTACACGTTTGTTGGCATTTTTGGTTTTTTAAGGAAATACGACTTGCAAAATAAATATGAAGTGATTTCATTTGCATACATTTGTGGCTTGCACAAATCAGGAATCACACTTAAAGTTGACCCTCTCAAGCTCCAAAACACACTTCTGATTACTAAAATTCAGTTTGTTAAATGTGGTTTTGGTAGTAGTCCTACACTTTATTCCCTTGTCAGCAGACAGACCAAAGAATATCCCTTGATGGAATAAGTCCTTTAAAAACTACATTTCAGTTGATGCAAAAAGCTTCTAAAGAATTCCATTGCTTTTTACCATATGGCTGTTGTATGATCTGTGTGTGTGTGTGTCTGTTTTCATATGCGTGCATATGAGCTTAGTACAATGGAATGAGAAAACTGGGGTTAGATAAATCTAATTTCACAACCACGCTGGACCATTTTCCAGCCTTGTGACTTGAGAAAAGTTATTTTCCCTCTAAGCCTAAATTTCCCCATACATAACTCATCTAGGATTATTTTGAAGACTAAGTAATATGTAATTTGGTTAGGACCGATTCCATGTTGTTGTTGTTAGTTACCATCGAGTTGGTTCTGACTCATGGTGACCCCATGTCTGCAGAGTAGAGCTGCTGCTTAGTGTTTTCAAAGCTGTGACCTTTTGGAAACAGATTGCCAAGCCTTACTTCTGAGACTCCTCCGGGTAGGTTTGAACGCCAACTTTTTGGTTAGTGGTCCAGCGCTTAACCATTTGTGGGTTCCTTTCCTTCATAACCTTTATATTCATATGTAAATTTATGCATAATGTACATCTACATACAGAGCCTTATCGTTATTAAAACTATATTGAGTCATTTTAATGTGTTAATTTTATCAAGGAAGAGTATACCTCCCACCGTAGCTAATCTATCCCGAGATAGTTCAAGTGACCTGCAATTTAGTGTGGATAAGAATCTACCTGTGGAGCTTATTAAAATGTAGGTTGCTAGGCCGAGAGTGTCTGATTCAGTAGATTTGTGGTAAGCCTGGGGATCTGCGTTTTAAATGAGCACAAATGGGAGAGATGAACAAATGCTGGTTTCTGAGGCACACGGGAGCGGTGGTGAGAAATAAACCTGAGACTTGATATGCTGATTTCAAATCCTGTTTCTATTATAGACATATCTGTGTTCAAAAGTTTATACTTGTGTCAATAATATGTGAATCAGTGGATTATACTTGAAATAAGATGAAAACCAGATCGGTCCCATATAGTCAGGGAATGGTGGTATTATCACACCCACCATCACCGTCTGCTGTATACCTACACCAGCACTGGGCAGCATGCAGCTCCTAAACCAGTTTCTTTTCCTGTCGA